TTTGGCTTTTGCTAATTACTAATTAATAATTATCCGCTGCAAATTAGTGCCAGTAAGACTTTTTTTAGTAAGGTTGGAAATCACTCCTGAATGTTTCAATTTGCCTCTAACTTCAGCAATCGTTAATTGTTCAAAGCGTTCTGTTCCGAAACATTTCTATACCAAACTTAATTGTTATGAAATGGAGATTTGCTCATTGGAAAAACAAAATAATTAGTTATTACTATGCAATTTCTGTGAGCTTCTATCAGCAATGATCGTAGTAATTAATTAATGCCTATTTTTTTTTGTTGCATTATCAATAGGATAGGAAAGTTTACCAAAGCTTAGAAACTTTTTAAAAAATTCGTCGAATTTTATTTGGAATTTTATTATTGAATTTTATTTAAACATCAGTTGATAATTATTGAAAACAAAAAAAACAGAAAGTTCCAGTCCTACAGTCCAGCAAGAAAGTGCTAGCAAATGATTAAAATATTTTTATCTGCCATTTTTGATCGACAAATTTACAGCAATTTTTTTGTTTGAGAACAATGTTACATTTCTCTATATGACATTTTCATATGATATCATTTAAGGTCAATGATTCGACTTATATTAACTTCAGTTAATGCACATTTGACTAGGGAATGATCTTTACATTTTTAATCATGTTTAGTTTAAGATTTGCATAGATATATAATATTGATAATCGTCATCATCATCTTTGTCATAATAATTATATTAAAATTTAATACTATTATCATTAGTGTTGCCTGAACAGCTACCAAATTAATCTAATTATTTTGTTTTAACCAAACATGTTTCTAAAACATTAATTTGCGCAACAATATTGTCATTTTCTTTTCATGTTTTACTTCTTGACAAGATATTATTTGATTTCATCAATCAGTCCCATTACAATAATTAGTCCTTTACCAGTTTTATCAATTAATTTTACTATAATTTATTGATTCACTCAAATTTGTCATCAGCTTTATCAATTGATTCCGTTACGATGGTGTATTGTTCAACAAATTAATCTTTTATCGAAGTTTTATCACTTAATTCTCTTGCAATAGTATTAGTTTGACTTTATAATCCTCGATCAAAATACAAAATTCAGCTGTTTTCATTCAATGTTGCACCACTTTCGATAAACTTTCACGTGGTATACGGTAAGCTTATTACACATTCTTCCTACGCTTTCATTTTTTATAATTTTTCCTTACCTTTTTCTCTTTGGCAAATTGGTAATTAATTAATGGATAAAATCCTGTACAAAATATTTGAAACATTCCAAACTTATTAAGAGATAGAATTTAAATCACTTTAACTTAGCATATCTTATCATTATTTGATCGTCACAAAAATCAGTAGACAATATTTTCTATTTTTACTATGGATTTTGTCGCTTAAATTAATCATTACCGGTTTATTGCCAAATTTATTTGTTTATTATCCATTTTCATTTCAAATTTCACAAGCAATTTTTTCAAGGACACTGTATCCAATAACAATTTATGAAATGTGTTATTACTGATGAAAAAATTTCCTTTTAAGTATTTATATAATCATTTCCGGCTAGCATTGGTCCCAGTTTTGTCTTGAGTAACAGGAATCCTGATTTCAATCCTTGTACTCTATCTCGTTTAATGAATTTAAAGAAGTCTTTGACGCCACTGAGTGTTTCAGGCTGTTTCCAGTAACCGTTTATCCCTTCTAAGTTTTTTTTTTCCATTATAGAACTGATGTTTTAGTCGTCGATTGCGATCACTTCCAGTTTATTTGTAAGGTAATCCATTATGTTAACCTCGCAGGTTATGATTTCGGTCTTTTCGATTCTTACACTAACCTCTGCTCTGGTTGAATTGCATTTCTTCGGTAATTTATTGCCAAATGAAGCAATACTTAATCTCTCGTCTTCCACCGCTCGAATGTGCAGCCTTTTTGCTAAGTTAGTTGATATGAATGACAACTGCGAGCCCAAATCAAATAGTGCCAACGTTCTCGTTTGGAATTTCGGGATCTCTGGGTTTGTGACGCTAATTTCTTTACACAGAAGTAATATCCTTTTACCTTCTGGTCGTATTTGCTCAGCTATTGTGCTGTTCGTCACCGTTGGCTCCAACTTTTCTGCTCATGGTTTTTTTGGTCCTAGTATCTTTGTGGTGATTGGTACATAGCGCTGAATTATGTTATGTTTTCCTTTGCAAAGAAAGCATAATTTCTTTAGTTTTCGGCAATCCTTTGCTATGTGGTCCTCTTGTAAGCAATTCAGGCACGCCTCGACTGTTTTCAAACACTCCATTCGTTGTTTTGCTGTCTGGTAAACTTGACATTCGTCATCCCAATGATCCTGTTTGTAAAATGAATCAGGTCTTCGTATTTTATCACTTTCAGGATATTTCCTTGAGTTTGTGATCCTTTGACTATCGCTTGGCTTGGGCTGCTTGATTGCGGGCAAAGCAGACGTCTCTCCTCTTGTACTGCTTCGGTCGTGGTTCGGCTTCGACTCGGTTGATTTTCGTTGGTACCCACCACTAGAGGTCTGGCTTCTCTGTGCTTCCTCATTTCTTTGAACTACTTCTTGCAAGAATTTTCGGAGTCTAGTGACCGACCGACCAGAACTCTTGGTCCTTCTTTTGTTGGTAAACTTTGTCCAATATCCACATTGGCAATCTACTTTCGATAATAATTTCAATGCTGGAATGCTCAAAATACCCATTGCTTCCAGTTGTCGAAGTGTTCTTTCCATAGTTTCGACGGTTGTTTTCCACTCTCGATCATGTCCTTTGATGGAGTATAACTCGTTGTACAAAGACTTTCTTATAGTAGATAAATTCCCGGCCAAAACTTTTCTTATGACGTCGTAGTTTCCTGGAGCAATATCATAGCCCTTGACAGCTTGTAGAGCATTTCCTTTGAGGCAGGAGATCAGGTAATTTAATTTTTGAATATCGAGTATTTTTTGAAAATGCACTGCGGCATCAAAACTACCCCCGAATTCTCTCCATAATTTCGGGTCACCACTGAGTGTTGGTAGTGGTAACTGTGGCAAATTTACTGTCTGCTGAGGGAGAGCTCCTTCTGTTGAAATGGTACGTTATTTACCTTGCTTTGCTGTAGGCGCTGTACCGCTACCTCAAACTCATCCTTGTACATATCTAGAGTTATAACAGCTTCTTGACCATCATTTATTAAATTTAAAAGGCCTTTATTATCGTCAACCATATCCGCGTATTTGTCTTCTTCTTGCTTTCTTTTCTGCACATTCTTTTGTTTTTGGATATACTCCAACCATTTTTTCGTTGACTGATCTGAGTGTACCATCATAGGGTTTTAGACGCCTTATTTTTTGTTCTATAGTCCTCCTCTTGAGTTCGAATTGCTGTTGCTTTTCCTCCACCGCTAAATGTTGATCAGGAGGCGTTAGGTCCATTGCTTTTACTTCGTCGAGAAGATCCTCCAACTTTTGTTTTGTCGGTTGGGCAGTTTTGATTATAGTGTCCACATTCCCGGCTCGTGGCACCAAAAATTTGTTGGGAAATTGTTTTTCTGTTGAACTCGTTTCTCGGCGATACAGATTTATTCGGGAGGTAATATTGTTCTTGCACAATATTACTAGTCAACAAGAAAAAGGGTATGAAATATGTATGTATATAACACGATGAATTGGTAAGCAATGATAAACGAGTTATAAAAAAAGCAAGTAATATGATCAACTAACAAATTCCTTGTCGTTGTCTTGGACAATAATTTGACTGTCGGTTAGTTGATAGGTCGTTGAGTTGGGAATACGTTATGCGAAATGTATTTAGTGAATAGTAAAATATTGTAGTTTGTTGTCCAATGGTGGCGGACATGCGAAGATATCGTTGGTTGTGGGTTAGTCGCGGAGGCGATGAGGATGTATCGTCTGCTTGCTTGTCAAAACTAAACTCAACTGTCTGTCTCGAGAATTTTTATATATATATATATATATATATATATGTATATGTATATATATATAAGGATTAGGGAGAAGCTCTGTAAGCACCATCGGGGTTATTATATCGAGGTTATCATGGAGGTATGGCTACCCTTTGGTACTGTTCATTGTGTAAGTACTGAGACATTTTTGTTTTACGCTGTCCATTGTTAGCTTACATCCTCTTCTTTCATCGTTTTAATTTTACTTACACTTGTTTTAATTGTTTTAATTTTACTTACAAAATTTTGTCACCCCGTTTGTTGGATATTATGGAAATTTTGTTTGAACATAGCTTTAATTCCCATAATCCGGCAGAAAATTCGCATTATGATTTTCGGAGTTTTTCCGACATGCTCAAACATTCGTAAATTTTAAATAATTTTGTAATGATATTATTATTAGTTAGTGAATAAAAGACTGAAATGATGCCATATCGAAAAAGAACAAATGAGATGCTTATTTCAAGAAGTAAATTTAATTCACTTTTTAAAAATTAATAAAACAAGACGAAATTAAAAATACATGAAGGAAGAATAATACAGAAGTTGAAGAAAATATAAATTAGAAAAGGTAAAATGTGATAGTCGAATGGTCATAACATTTGACTGATAATGATAATGAAGTGATATTTGAGTGATAATGAAACCTCTTTTTGTCTTAATATGCTAAGAATTATAAGCAGAAGGCATAACAGTGTAAACAATTTAATTAGGGAACGCAATTAGAATTAAAGTTGAACCAATATATTGAGAATGTAATTCATTCTACCCCAAAAGATCAATGCAAAACTCTTCGAATATTTAATGTTCAATGGGTATATTGGTTATTGTCATGTTTATCCCTAACTACAACAGTTTTTTCAGTGGGCGGATAAATCCTGTGTCATTTTTCGATAGCTCGGAAATGTATAAAATGAGTTAATTAAAGCTTAATGCATCAGTATGTGACACTTTGAAGTATTGTTTATAGTAAAGTGAATTCTACATAGGATTTCATTGCTAGAGATTATTAGAAGTGCGATTTTTGGAACCTAATGAAATAATCATGAATGTCAGATAAAGTGAAGTTGGTCATTATGATTGGTAACGATTTCAAATATACTCGTGAATGCGCTGAAAGTCAAATACTGGTTATAGCCAAAGCCTTTCAAGAGGTTGTTAGCGCGCCAATTTGCGTTATTGCTCAACCGAATAATCGAGATAATACGTAAGTCAAACTTGATTGTTTCTTGGCCTACAGATCAATCTGGAATGGAGTGACACCGAAAGGAGTTAATTGCGACAATATTCATCCACAGAATGCGTTTGATAGGAATAACATTAATTCTGATGTCGAATAAGAATATTTGACAGTTTCCGAAATAGGACGAATGCTATAATGATTATGGACAGACGATAAATATTTCAACTTTATCACAACAAATATCTTAATTTTAGAAACAACGAGGACTTTGAAAAGGTTGGCAATGCGTTAGCATTCAACTCTGGTGTAAACGCATGAACTATTCTCATAGTTACAAACAGCAGCGAAGAGTTGAGAACAAAATTTGAGAACTGGAAGGTTTAACTTGTTTATTCGCTCTAACTGTTTTTTAATTTACTTTAGTTTATTTGTACATGTTGATGTTGTGAAGTCATTTTCTCATTAAAAGCTTGTTAATTCTTCAGATTTTTGAGATTTGGTTGCGTTTTTTACGTGATTTCAAGTCTTTTCAATACTTATCAAAAATATGCTCGTTATAACTATGCTAATTGTGCAAAAGTATCCCTTTTCTGCAGAACGAATTGCTCTTCTTTAACAGTCATCAAGTAATACTCTTCCATTTTACTGTGATCAATGGCACTGAGCCGGATGATAGCAAAAAGATATTCAGGTAAGATATTTGGAATATTCAATGAGACATTCATGATCAGTTTCTAGAATAACATAATGGTCTGTTAATCAAATGTCACAACAAAAATGGACAGGGTTAACGATTCTGCTGGCTTTGCCTTTTTTCCGATTTGATAAGACTATGGATTAATTAGTGATAAACATTCTAGTACTATAATATTTAATGAAAGTAAGCGTACTATTAATAATGATAGCATTACATACGTTACTACGCCAAGTAAATTTGAATTTCTGACGCGCTCCGAAGGCTCACTTCACAGCCGTGCAAAAAAGAGGGTAACGTAAGACGTAAGGCATCATTATAGTGTTACTGGATTTCCATATTTGAATAATTCTGTTCAATTTTCGGTAATTTGCAATTAATATCATTTTTTCTTTGCAGCAAAACATTCCCAGACATTCCGCTGTGTACGTTACGTTTATTTAATGAATCATCGATGACTGTTGTTGACTATCAAGTTGAGACGGAATTTCGTTTCCATGCCGGTCATGTATATGCCATTGTTGGTGTTCGAAAATTTGGTGGAGAAAATCCAGTTATGGGAAATCTTTCCGAGGAAAGTGATTGATTTTTATCAATGATTGACTGTTTCATATTCACAATTCAGATGAGTAAGTGTATATCTGTCGGTAAGTGATGCTATTGTTTTGTCAGCAGTTAAAGCTATAAACACATTGTTATGAAGATGTGATAAATATTTCATAATATTTAAAAGCGGATGATTCATTTGAAGCGTCGAATATCATGCAAAATATGCAAATTGAATGGCCAATTTCTGCGCTTTGAAAACACAGCCACGACTAGGCCTTTGATTAATCAGGCCAGTAATGCTTTTTATTTCGTTGTTCTGATTGTGCTCGTATATTGCATATATTCTGAAATACACAAAGTCAAACTGGAGAGAAATGATTCAGAGCATATTTAAACAGAAGAAAAAAAACTGCGCTTACAAAGATTCGCAGCCATTCAAACGACGTGAAGGAAACTGTTTGATTTTCACGCTACGCTTTTTAAGTATAAAATATTATAGTTGACAGTGAAATCCAACTTATTCAGGCCATTTTGTTATTACTACGCAACTAACTTCTACTGGAACAATTTCACTGATTCTGCAAATTTAAAAATAATATCTTGTCTATTATTTATGAAATACATATGTCATACGGTGAATTTGCAGTGATCCTTCAACACTGTTATAACTTGATCAGAAGTTCAGCTTTTCGATTCAGGTTAAGTCAATAATTTATGGATCAAAGAAGAATGTACATTAGTTGATTGTGTCAAAGAGATGTTACTTTCGCGAATAATAAACTTTTTGAAATTTTTTTATTAGGTTAATCACTGCCAGAAATTTTGTGAGCGACCAGTTATTACTAATTGCAAAAAGCGATATCAGAAAAAATGAATTACACAAAAAATGAATTACACGAATTATTCTTTTCACCAATGATAGTTCTCTTGTGCATACATTTTTTGGAAGCCTGAAATATGAATCACGAAGTGACAATATATGTAGTATGCGATTTAATCATTCAAAATGTATCAATTTTATCAATAGACGATCAAAGTCATTTTTATTTACTTCATTACTAAGAATTACTGTTCAATTCTTGTCCTGTTCTACCGCTATCCACTTTTTTAGGGAATGTATAAACATGATAATCGATATTTCCGAGGAAATTTGATAAATTTCGGGGGTATTCCACTTTATGATTCAAAGAACCGAGCCACATGTAATGAATTTATATTTTTTCAAATCCTTCAGATATATGAACTTTACCGAACAGAATGCATCTTAAGCAATATAAAAAGGCTTGATTTTATAGATTGCCTTCTTATAATTTTCTGCCAAGCAAACAGTAAGCCTGCCCATTTTATAAGTTTGATTATTTTTGAAGAAATAAATCGGTTGTACTACTAATGGACCTTTATTGATTCTTATCAAGTAAATAGTAAGCCGATCGACTTCATAAGTTGGATTATTTTTAAAGAAACAGACAGCAAGAGATTGTAATATATTTATTTTCATTCTTATTGCTTAGAATTTGAGTCTAATGAAGATGTGAAAATATCAATTTCATATAAAAATGAGATATTCAACTTTTGTAACTTTTTTTCAGATTGAACTTTTTACTTTATTGCTTACTTTCTTAATTGGAAATTCTCAATTCGTTTTTTAATTATTTGCATCTCTTACTCTTTCTGTGTGCACTATATGTTTTGCTTATTTAATTTTCTTTTTTTTTTACTGGCTATTTTTCATAAAATAAGTATAGGAAGAATACCTTCATACCAATTAGTACAAATTACCTGGAAGGATATTTTTGACTATTCCAGGTGCTAGAGCGATTTTGGTAGACAATATCAGTATGACGATTATCTATAAATGATTCCAAATTGATGGTGAAAAATGAAGCAAAAAAAAAGCGTATAACTGATCACATTTAAGGATGCTCGAATATTTTCAATTTAAAATAAAGAAGCGGATCAGTTTGAATCAATGATATTTTTTATTGCATGTATGAGATGGGCAGAACAAGTTTCCGGATCAACCCAATTCCTAAATGATTTTTGAATATATAATTCATCCAAATGCTTCAACCGCTATACACCTTCTGTATTGAAGGAGAGTGAAGGAGGGAAAAGGTTGGAGGGCATGCTTTGTTCATTTTCGGGAAAGGTGACAACTGTGACTGACAGAATGTCAAATGAATTAGAAAACCAAGTATTTTTTATGCGATTATAACATCGTATCATTAATTTAACAGTGAATTCTATCGTTTTTATTCAAAATCAATTAGCAATACTATGAAAACAATGTTCCCCCAGAGATTTTCTCCCATAATTCAGCATTGAGATTTTGTAACGATAAACTTCGTGATTACTACTCATCAGATTCTTTTGAAATCATATTGTCATATGCTTACGCAGTATGGAAATACGGTATTGACATATCTAGAAACTTTATTTGGAAGAATATGTGGAATGTAAACGAACAGCAAAAAATGCTAATGAAATGATAGCGGTCATAGGTTGAGATAGGAACTGATAAAAATGGCTTACGAATAAAAAATCATTATCACTATCATAACTATCTCTATCATAATCATTGCTCATCTCTGCATCCATTATTCATAAAACATAAAAAAGAAAAGCCAGAAGGAACGTAATCTTCTTACTACCAGCTGATATTTCAAGACTGCTTTCGCATTCTGAAATATGATACGGCTGCCGATTTCTGGCTTGTTATTCGGATGAACTATCGAATAGTGAAAACGGCCGTAGATTTAAATAAATTAAATTAAATATTATCGCAAGATTATTCGTAAGGTTTTATCGTTCTTATTCAAAATCTATTAGCAATACTATAGACAAAATGTTCTCCCCGAGATTTTCTCTCATAATTCAACACTGAGATTTTGTAACACTGCTAAATCAAAATTGCTAAAAAACTTATCATCTTTTCATCAATATAGCTAAAAGTTAAGGATTTTTTAAAATTTCTCATAAAATATTTGGATGAAATTTTTTAAATGTGTTCACTCGTCCACAACATGGTCAGTGATTTTTGAAGGTATTCAATGTATCAGATCATAAAACGCTGATCAAAATTGGCGAAAACCTTATCATATATTGACCAAAATAGCCTAAAAATTAAACATTTTTCAAAAATTCGCATGACTCCACAATATTCGAATGAAATTTTTCTATATCAGATCGATAATACACTGATCAAAATTGGCAGAAAATTTAAATTATCACGAAATTAACCTAAAAATTAAGGATTTTCTAAAAATTCTCAGCAATCCAAAATATTTGAATGAAACTCTTGGTGTGTTCGCTAGTGTACAGTATGATCAGTGATTTCGACAGCAACCAATTTGTCAGATAAATAAAATATGATCAAAATTAGCAAAAACCTTATCAAATCATCACGAAATTGGCTGAAAGTTAGGGATTTCATAAAAATTCTCATTAACCCAAAATATCTCGGTGAAAATTTATAGGGGAGTTCTTTTTTTTTTTTGCCAACTTTAATTATCGTTTATGATTACTATCGATGAGATGTGATCTTCTAATAAGTCGAATGTTTTCTTGAGCAGTGATAAACATTTGAATTAAAAGAAAACTTTACATTTATATTCAACTAAATAGTAGAATAATAAAGCATTGACGACATTCAATTCAATTTTTTTGTAACATAAAAATAATTCCAAATGACATATATTATCACGGAAATTGCTATAGGTATATAGTAGTGGTTTTCAGTTGGAAGCATTGGCATGACTTAATCAAGAGAATATACAGGTTAAGGTATGCATGGTTCGATCGCTTTAATCACCATCAACATGTTTCTTATGTTGTTATGCTGCTGAGGGTGGTATTACTATCCTCATATAAGTTCTAAAAATTTGATATGGTTTTTATTTTTCGATCAGTGTGTTATCGATCAGAGATATTGATTGCTACCACAAACCTTTGATGATGTTGGCGATCCCATATGAAAGTATTTGTCTAAGTAATTTGAACTAAAGAAGATTTTTTAAAAAAAATTTTCAATTTTTAAGCTGATCCGATGAAAAATTAAGGCTAATAATAGTATCTGCTATGAATTTAAGGCTGATAACAATGTCTGCTATGACTGATAACAATATCTGCTAGTGATCGCACATGATCTCACAAATGAAACAATTTTTTAAGTTGTTTAAATTAAAATAATTGATGAAAGTCTCTAACATTTAGACTTAGACTTAGGCTCGGGTTTAGATGTAGGTCCATGCCCGGACAATAGAACAGCAAGCAAGCATTTGCAGATTGCATTTAAAAATGTTTTTCAGTTTGTTTATTTTGATTTTTCATTATAAATCAAATAAGTAAGTGTAAAAAACATTCTATTTTAAATTTGTTAGCTACTTTGCTGAAATTGTAATTGAATTGTAAGAAATTGTATTCCAATTAGTTATTGGATAGTGTAAATTAATTATGCTGTCAGAGAGTTGTTAATTTAATAGCAGATTGTTGTTATTGTCACTATTATCATTGATTTCTTCTTGTACCTTGAACGTTTTCAAATTTCCTTTTTCTTTACTTTTCAATTACGGAAAAAGTTTATTTTTAACTAAAAATTCACATTTAGTTTTTCATTTTTTCTTCTATGCATTGTCACCAACGACTTGTTGCTATATTTGAGTTTTAGTTAAGTATTCAGAAATTTTGCTTACAATCACCGCATAATCACATGCAACAATGATTCAATGTAATCTATGAGCTTTTTATCAGTTTTCTTTTTTTTTTATCTTCAGCAATTTATCAATTTCTAACTGACTTTCCATTCAATTGAATCTTGTCAAATTTTTAAAACAGAATGAGGGAGGTATATCAGCAAGAAAAAAATGGCGTAAATAATTGAAGTGATTTGGGGCGGATGAATTAATTGCTTATTAAATTAAAATCGTATACTTTCTGCAATAAATTAGGATTTGTATTAAGAAAATGGTTGTTTGCAAATATACAAAATTTTTATTTTTTCGAAAATCGTTTGAACAAAATTGACATTTCATTCGACTA